CTGCCTCAGCCTCCCGAGCCTGGCTAATTTTTATATTTTAATAGAGATGAGGTTTCATCATGTTGGCCAGGCTGGTCTCGAACCCCCAACCTCAGGTGATCCACCTGTGTCAGCCTCCCAAAGTGTTGAGATTACAGGCGTGAGCCACCATGCCCGGCCTAAGATCTCTTGAGGGCAAAAGTTTGAAATAATCCCCCCTGCCAATCTTTATATTTTGCTGTTTGTCCTGTGACACAATTGTTATCGCAGGGATTCCTGGCATGCCAGGTTTAGATATACAAGCCCTGAGCTTGGCAATGTGCTGGCACTTTACAAATTCATCTCATTAAATCCTCCCCTAAACCCTATGGGCTAGATAGCCTCAACATGTGGCAGACAGGACAATAGGGGTCTGGAAGGATAAAAACCTTGACTAAGGCCATACAAACTAGATCTCCGATTGATGTTCTTACCTTGCCCCTCTGAAAAGCAGCGAGATCAGTGTCACAGTTATCACAAAGTTAGGGTTAAGCACCAATCATCTCAGATCTTTGTTTTCCTCTTTAACCACCTTATTCAAATATAATTAAATTTGATGACAGCTACTGAGTATAACTCCTCGTACAGCAGATTTAAATCATTATAATTTCACACTATGCTCCATGTCTAGAGATGTTGCTACCCAGCTTGACAAGGGAAGAAAAATAAGAAGTTGTAACCACCCTGTAAAAATCTAACATTGAAAGATGGCCACAAATCATAGGGTTCCACACAAAGGCATGGATTTGAAAAAAAACAAAAAACAAAAAACTACAGGTTTTTCTATTTTCTACTCAAGTCTGTATTGCATGCAGAAGCAGATTTAAGTGGCATAAATCAGAAAGTGATAATGGGAACTGAATGAAATTGTCATAAATCACGTTACTAAGTATAGTTACATCTTAGATGTAAAACCCAATTAAACAGATGGCCACATGCTGTCAGAATCAGCCCCTAATCAATAAAGATGTTCATTTTAGAGAATCACCTCAATTTTTCACTTCTTCAGTGAAGCAAAAAGAAGGCAGTTGTAGGGTGGGGGAAGTCCCAGGAAACCCAGTGGGGAAATGTGTAAGAAGAAACTCCACCTGTCTTAATTTGTAGTCTGGAAAATCAGAAAGGAGAGAGGGGAAAATAAAACTCCCCCAAAGGATTCCTTGTCATCCTGCCTGAGAATGTAATTTACAATGAGAGCAAGCACTGGTCATTAGGAAAACAGAAACAGCTTGAATCTCTTAATTAAAATACTGTTTCAAATTGTTCATGTTGAAAACCCCTCTGCCCATGAGCTTTCATGAAACCATTGGTTTACCCTGAAATGGCTTCTTCCTCAGTAAACCTCTGATAGGATTAGCCCTTCGCAGGCAAGAAAAAGGCTGAGCAGGGGCGAACCCTGGAGATGGAACTATTATTAGACACACTTAAGTACCCTAAGGAGTAGTAAGCCTTCAGTGACATTTTAAAGTGGATGCGGAAACACTGGCTTTTCTTGCATAAGAGCTGATCTCTTACACTCGCTAGACTGGTGAAAATTAAGTCTACCAATGCCAAGAGTTGATGAAAATGAGGAACAACAGAAACACTTCTGTATTTTGGAACACCAGCTTTGGAAAACATTTAATATTATCTGGTAGATAACTTCTTCCTATCAGCCAATAATTCCATTCCTGGGTGTATACACTCAGACACTTGTTTCAAGAGACAGTCACAAGAATATGCAGAGCAGCACTGTTCATAAGCAAAAACCTGGGTGTGGGGACACATAGGCTGGACAATAGAATAAACAATTTGGGGGTACAGTTATGAAATATTATACAGCAGTGAACATGAAAACAGCCTACCATCACATGCTACACGGACAAATCCTAAAAACATACTGACTGAAAAAACACAGTTGTTTAAGATTGCATACAGTAAGATACCATTTTTGCTATACTAAGAAACAAGTAAAAATAAACTACATATTGTTTAGGGATACCTATATAATTAAAGTTTTATTTTAAAAAACAAAAAAAAAAATGATAAACCCTCAAATGAGAAGACTGTTACCTCTGTGGTTAGTGGGAGGGATGGTTCCTGATTGGGTGAGGGCGTCATAGGCACATATTAATTTTGTCATGTTTTCATATATTCTTTATAACTTATATGTGCCAAAATGCTACATATGTTCTTTCACATGTACCAAATATTAGACAATGAAACGTTTTTAAGTGAATAATCTAAACGATTTCTATTTCCCAAGAGAATATTGTAAATGTGATTATAATTAATAATATGTTAAATTATTATAAGTATTAGTTATAATTAATAACTCAAATATCATAAGTTCCCATATAACATATGCAATTTAGTTCTCAAGTTGGCATTTAGGACCTTAAGAAAGCAATGGTAGCTTAGTGATAATGAATATTTATATAGTAAGAAGTGACATTCAAAATATTTAACAACTTACTTGGTTATGTAAATTAACGTATAAATAAAAAAATCCCGCCATCTGCTTGTCTGTCTTCTTTCTGTTCATTTCTCTCTCAGACCCAAGTCGGGCAGAGACTGCTATTCCTAACAGTGGCCACACGATGGCGGCTCTAAGAAGATGTGCCAGCTAGTAGTGGGCAGCCACAGCCTTCGGGCTGTCCCCTCTGACCAGAGTCCTGTAGGAACAACGGCCAGTATGGAGGACCCACGGCAGACTGGCTGACTGGCCAGAGGGAAGGCAGGATGCCTCCCTGAGGAGGTGGCCTGGCCTTTGAATAACGATTTGAAGGCAATGGGAGCATAAACCAGGCAGGTCACTTGGGGAAGTTTTCCAAGAGAAAGCGAACCCCTGGTATAAATATCCCCAGAGCAGAGCGTGTCAGATGTGCGCTACAAACACGAAGGAGGCCAGTGTGGCTGGAACAGAAGGAGGGAGGGAGAGGGAGAGTGGCAGGAGTTACGGGCAGAAAGATAACAGACCTTAAGGCCATTATAAATAATTTGGTTCTTTCTCTGAGTGAGATGGGATGTTGATAAAAGCTTTTGAGCAAAGAACTGACATGATATGATTGTAAAAAGTCTTAAAATTGCTACAATATTATATTTAGAATAGACTGAAGGGGGGTAAGAACAAAGCAGGGAAGCCAATGAAGAATCTATTCCCATAATCCAGGTGGGAGATAGTAGTGGTATGAACAAGGGTGGTAAATTCCATCCCCTGCATTCAACACCATAGAAATGTGATTAAAACCATGAGATTAGATGTTATCACCAAGCAAGTGAGCAAAGATGGAGAAAAGAGAACAGAAAAGGTGCAAGGACTGAGCCTTGGGGCATGCCATCATTAAGAGATATAGGAGATGAGGAGAAACCAGCAAGGATTTCAGCAGGAGTTGCCCACCTTCCCCAAGACAAGCCACCACCAACCAGAATTTCATGTTTGTCATTCTCATGAATGTCTTTACACTTACACTGCAAATGGATGGACCACCAAACAATGTGTAGAATTGTTCTGCATGAATTTCAACTTTATTTGTATCATATATCATACTTGATATATTTTCCCAAGTTGTATTTTTCTGCACAACCTAATACTTGTGAAATTCATCCATGTTAATATATATTGCTCATTTTTCACTGCTTTATGGTATTCCTTTGTGTGAATATGCCACATTTGACTCACCTTCCTGCAGAGGAATACGTAGGTTATTTTGCTTTTTCTAGTATTATAAATACTGTTATGAGCATTTTCGCTTGGGCTTCTTTATGCCTTGTGCAGGAGTTCTCTAGGGTAGCTGTTCCCAAACTTTAGCATATATTACAATCACTTGCAGGTTTTATGGCACCAGATTTCTGAGCTCCACATCCAAAGTTTGATCAACAGATCTAAGGTGCGGCCTGGGAATTTGCATTTCTAACAAGATCCCCCATGATGCTATTACTGCAGGTCCAAGGACCACATTTCAAGAATCACAGCACTAGAGCACATTCCAGGAGCACAGGTCATGGTCACAGGTATGCATGGACATCTGCAGCTTTTTGAGATATTGTCAAACTGCCCTGCAAAGTGGATGAGCCAATCTATCTTGCCACCAGCAATGAGTGTGTGTCCTTATTGCCAAGGCTGGATGCTGTCAGACTTTTTATTTGCGCCAAACAGATCTTAATAATGTTTTAAGGCCAGGTGCAGTGGCTCACGCCTCTAATCCCAACACTTTGGAAGGCCAAGGTGGACAGATCACTTGAGGCCAGGAGTTTGAGACCAGCCTAGCAAACATGGCAAAACCCCATCTCTACTAAAAATACAAATAAAAAAAATTTAGCTGGGCATGGTGGTACACACCTGTACTCCCAGCTACTCAGGAGGCTGAGGCATAAGAATAACTTGAACCTGGGAGGCAGAGGTTGCAGTGAGCCAAGATCACACCACTGAACTCCAGCCTAGGTGACAGAGGGAGACTCTGTCTTGAAAAAATAATAAAAATAATAATTTTTAAAATTTATCATGGTATTTTTAATTACATATACCTGATACATGTAAGTAGAAAACCTCAAGACATAACTTCCTAGCATTAATAACAATATTTCCAAGCTTCTTTCTTACATACAGATGGTCCTCTCAGGTTCTACAATCTGCTCAGTTACCTGCTGTTTTCCCCACCAATCCTAGGAACGAACAAAATGGTATGGACAAAATCAGTAAGGCCATTATGAGAGGAAAGTGGAGATTTGCTCCTTTTCATGGCAAACTTCATTATGGTTTAATTTGGTTTACTGTAGTTGATTTTTTTTCAATCAATGGTGACATAAAGCTTTAAAAAAAAAAAACTAGTAAGGTGAAGAGAGTGAGGAAAATTTGGCATATGGGTAGGAAAACAACCTTCCTTCACCAGCATACCCTGCCACTTTTGGGGGAAATAAGGAATGCCTTACCCTCCATCATAGTCATGGAAAAGTTCCTTCCATTTTATACCAGATTACCAAGGAGACAAGGAACCAGTACTTACGGATCTGGTTGGTGGATGCACTGTAGAAGGCATTGACGGTCGTTGGATTTGTAAACCACCTGTAGAAAAAGAAACAAATGCCAGAGAGTAATCATCATTATACAGGCAGGAGGGAAGCAAAGACAAACACAGCATGGCTGGGTTTATTAGCAGATAACCACGGAACAATGGGGATGTTAGACATGAGGGGAAATTATTCCCTCAGTTTAGGGTGACTGTACTGCTCAATGAACAATCTCATCCTAAATTGAACACGGCTCAATGAGAATATATTAACAAGCACAGTTATTTATTGTTACTAACTTAACAGAATAAAAAAGTCAGCATACCAGTGCTTTTGAAAAAGTTTTTTTTTAAATTATTATACTTTAAGTTCTAGGGTACATGTGCATAACGTGCAGGTTTGTTACATATGTATACTTGTGCCATGTTGGTGTGCTGCACCCATCAACTCATCAGCACCCATCAACTCATCATTTACATCAGGTATAACTCCCAATGCAATCCTTCCCCCCTCCCCCCGCCGTGATAGGCCCTGGTGTGTGATGTTCCCCTTCCCGAGTCCAAGTGATCTCATTGTTCAGTTCCCACCTATGAGTGAGAACATGCGGTGTTTGGTTTTCTGTTCTTGTGATAGTTTGCTAAGAATGATGGTTTCCAGCTGCATCCATGTCCCTACAAAGGACACGAACTCATCCTTTTTTATGGCTGCATAGTATTCCATGGTGTATTTGTGCCACATTTTCTTAATCCAGTCTGTCACTGACGGAAAAAGTTTTAATGAGAAATTCTAGAATCTAAAGGGCGCTCCCTGAAATGGAAACACAGCAAGTATATATTTGCCAGGCCCTATTCAATGGGTTGAATGGAAAACTGTGTTTCTATGCTGCATCACCTCTGGCCTGTCCTTTAAAAAGTTCTGGATTGGTGACAGCACAGAGGTTCATTTAAAGAAAGATGAATAAAGTCCAACTACGCTACCCAGAGGGTCTGCCTGCTCCGGTGGAAAGTGTACTGTCTCTATCACTAACTAGCTGAATTGTGTGGGAAGAGTCACCTACCTTCCTGGGCTTTAGTTTTAGCTATAAAATTAAGGCACTGCATTAGGACATCTTAAGGATCCCTTCTATCTAAGAGGAGTCTACATCCAAATCTTAAATGCACAATAGGTTACTTGGATCAGCAGTCAGCAAATTTTTTTTTGTAAAGGGTGAGATCATAAATATTTTAGGCTTTACAGGCAAAGAGGCAAAATCAAAGATATTACGTAGGTACTTAAGAGCAAATTGTCCACAAATTTTATTGATGAAATTCAAAAAATAATAATAGTAATCAAGTACAATTATTTCTTTTTTTTTTTTTCTTTCAGAGACAGGGTTTCGGCATGTTGGCCAGGCTGGTCTCAAATTCCGGACCTCAAGTGATCCGCCCACTTCAGCCTCCCAAAGTGCTGGAATTATAGGCGTGAGCCACCATGCCCAGCTGAGTACAATTATTTCTACTACAGGCCTATTAATGAAAATAATGGAATTATTTTGGGGTGAGATAACATTTTGCTTCATTGGGGTTCTAAGTTATGCTTATCCAATTTGCAGGTTCCTCAAAAAACTAAAAATGGAGCTACTATATGATCCAGCAGCCCCACTGCTGGGTACATACCCAAAGAAAGAAAATAACTGATGAGATATCTGCACTCCCATGTTTGTTGCAGCACCGTTTGCAATAGCCAAGATTTGGAAGCAACCTAAGTGTCCACCAACAGGTGAATGGATAAAGAAAATATGGTACATATACACAATGGAGTACTATTCAGCCAGAAAAAAGAATGAGAGCGTGTCATTTGCAACACATGGATGGAACTGGAGGTCATTATGTTAAGTGAAATAAGCCAGGCACAGAAAGACAAACATTGCATGTTCTCACGTATTTGTGGGATCTAAAAACCAAAACAATTGAAATCATGGAGATAGAGAGTAGAAGCATGGTTACCAGAGGCTGGGAAGGGCGGTAGGGGAATCGGGGAGAAGTGGGGATGGGTAATGGGTACAAAAAATATATAGTTAGAAAGAATGAATAAGATCTAGTATTTGATAGCACAACAGGGTGACTATAGTCAATAATAACTCTACATTTTAAAATAACGAAAATAATATAAGTGGATGTTTGTAACACAAAGGATAAATGCTTGAGGGGATAGATACTCCCATTTTCCATGATGTGATTATGCATTGCAGGCCTGTATCAAAATATCTCATGTACCCCATAAATATTTACAACTACTACATACCAACAAAAATTATTTTAATCAAAAAACAAAAACAAAAACAAACAACCAAATGAAGTTAGGGCTTCCCCATCATCAAACCAACTGCAAACATTTATCTCTAAAAATTATTCTTAGCTCACGGGCCATACAAAAACAGGCAGCAGGTGAGATTTAGCCCACAGGCATAGTGGCCAACCCCTGACTTAGATGGTTGTAAGTTTCAGTGACTGCTTATTATGATTAAAACCAAGCAATTCATCTTAAGCTAAACTGCTAAAAATAAACTCATAAGCCCAGCAGTGGTATGCAAATATAGTTCCAGCTACTTGGGAGGCTGAGGCAGGAGGACTGCCTGAGCCCAGAAGTTCGAGTCTCTAAAAAACTAAAAATGGAAAGAAAGAAAAAAATGTGTGTATAAATCCCTTTCTAGAACAATTGTTTTACTCATTTATCTCTAATAAAATAATTATGTCAGACTAACAAATTAATTTATGTCAGGTTAATATGAAACTAATGCGAAATCCAATTGTTGACACTAGTTGATAAACTCATACCTTCTCCCCAACTATAAAGAAGTCTAAGAATATGTCATTCTGTTTTCATTGTCCTTATTATTAGCTAACATTCACTGAGCACTTACTATGTCCTAAGCACCTTCTATTCATCAGTTTTTCCCCACGGCAACATAGGAATTATTAGCCCATTTCACAGATGAGGATAATGAGACTTAGGAGCATTATGTACTTGTACAAGGCCTGGTCTGTCTGACTTCAAATCAGTTCTCCTAAGCATTATATTATACTGTAGATATTACTGGAAATCAAGAAAGAGTGCCTCCTCTCTTTTAAAAACCGAAACCTAGACATATTTCCATAAAATGCATATTCTTTTCCTTCAAATTTAGGGTATTTCAATGAAGCCCTAGTGTTTAACATAAGCTTGCTGGTTGGCCTACTTTCCTAAGGAAACAGTGAATGGGAAAGCACCTCTATTGACCTAACTTGGCTACCTGTAGTAGGTAAAGTTATGGCCAAGTCCTAATCCCTGGATCCTATGAACATGTTACATCACATAGTAAGAAGGACTTTACAGGTGTAATTAAGCTTAAGGACTGTAAAATAGAGAGATTATCCTGGATTATTCAGGTAGGCTAAATCCAATCACAAGCCCTTAAAGCAGACAACCTTGTTTGGCTGGAATCAGAGAGATGCAACAGAGGAGGAAGTCGGAGGAGCCAGTGCAGAGCAGGAAGGCAGGGATAGTCCAGGGTGAGAAGGATTTGACACTCTGCTGGCTCTAAGATGTAGGGGCAATGTATGAGGACTGGATAAAGCCTTCTGAGAACAAAGAGTAGCTTCCAGGCAATAGCCAGCAAGGAAGTAAAGACCTTACCCCTACAACCAGAAAGAACTGGATTCTGCCAACAACCTGAATCCCCTTGGAAGGGGATGCTTCCCAGAGCCTCCCCATAAAAGCCCAGCCGGCTGACACTCTTAATTTCAGCCGTATGAAATCCAAAGCAAAGAAACAACCAAGCTACCCCAGACTTTTGACCTAGAGAACTGTGAGATAATAAATCTGCATTGTTTTAAGCTGTTAAGGTTTTAGGAGTTTGTTACAGTAGCAATAGGAAACTAATACACTATCCTAAGAACCCAACATTTCTAAGTCAAAAGGGGAAAATCCAGGTGGGTGCCTTGGCTTCTAAATAGCATTGGACTGAATCATAATATATACAAAAGATAATGTGTATTCCTAGAGCTTGTCCCTTCTCTTTTTGTTCTTCCCAACTCCCCTCTCTTTAAAATAACAAACTTTTAAAACATTCAGGTAAGGGCTATGCAGGGAAAAGGTTCCTAACTGCTGGTAGACAAAGGTAGACAAAGCAAACCAAACAACCAGTCTCTGAAACGAGAACTTAATGGGGCTTCTGAAGCTTCAACAAGAATAACGAAAACATCTTATTTCAGACACATGATCTTACCATTCCTGAGCTCCCAGGGCTCTTATTGACTCTAGGGCACATTTGGAGCCTTGATAATACCCAGAGCTGATATTAAGCAGCTGCACCAGTAGATCCTACCAGTTGTTGATGCTGTTATTTCTTCTATTTGTTCAGGGCCCATGCCAAACCAGCTGTTAAGCATTTTGTATATCTCCCGTATTACATCCAAGTTTATTATATATTTAGTTTTACTATTCTCTAATGTAAGGCTACATGTGCTAGTTTTAATATGTGTTTGTGAACTTTTTTACACTCCTCCCATGAAGAGATGGAATCCAAATTCCTCTCCCCTTGATTATGGGTTAGCCTTAGTGACTCACTTCTAAAGAATAATATGCAGCAGAAATGACAGTGTGACTTCCAAGGCTAGGTAATTAAAGGTGATACAACCTCCCCCTGATGCATATAAGCACACCCTCCCTCCCTCCCTCTTTCTCAGAAAAGCTGCTCTTTGAAGTTTCTATATCAATCAACATGCTGTAAGGAAACCCAACATACATGAAGAGGCCATATGTAGATGTTCTAGTCAACAGTCAGCATCAACCATTAGCCATGTGAGAGAGGTAGCCTTCCATATGACACCAGCCCCAGCCACTATTTGACTGGAACTACATGAAAGACCACAAATGGCCAGGTGCAGTGGCTCACACCCGTAATCCCAGTGCTTTGGGAGGCTGAGATGGGCAGATCACCTGAAGTCAGGAGTTTGAAACCAGCCTGGCCAACATGGTGAAATGCTGTCTGTACTAAAACTACAAAAATTAGCTGAGCTTGGTGGCGGGCACCTG